AGACGACTGTTACTTCATGAACAAAATCTCGCTATGATAGAATAACATGATTGACCGCTTCTTTGGTCTAGTGATCCGAGTTCCTGGCTACAGATCTAGATGTTCGGGTTCGATTCCCGGCGCTGTCAGATTTCTGAGAAATAGTGGGTCTGGAACGGGGTCCACTCAGCCTCGTGAGGATAATTGAGGAGCTATTTCAAGGAAATGCCGGTCACGGTAGCCGACCTGTCTAAGGCATGCACTGTCTTCGCTCGCTCGGAAGCCGGGATCGTGGGTTCGAATCCCGCTCAGCGCATGGATGTTTGTGTGCGTTTTTCTGTGTTTGTCTACAGGTAGAGGCCTTGCGACGAGCTGATCACTACCCCCAAGAGTCCTACCGTATGTGTAAGATCTAGTAAACCGAAGTGAAACGGAGAGTTTCATGGAGGTAGGCCTAGTCCCAAATTGGGGCTGTAGCACCACAAGGAAAACAAAATTCAAGGAAATAGCGACTCCGGTCTAGAAAATCGAAATCAGCGGCCGTGGGGATTAGTTGCGCTCACCACGCGACACAAACTATCCCCTGAAGTTGGTACTAACTTCGCCGACATGCGGCGATCAGTCGGTCGGTATAGTTCGCTTGCGGACTAAAACCACGGAGTTTTTTGTTTGAGAATAAGATGTTTATAAGACTGTGTTACAGTGGTCGGAATGGGAATTACATAGGCCTTTTTTGTATATATACATTTATTTTTTCAGAATAAAAAATATTTGTAAAGGTCCTACATTTTTACTGTTGTCGCTTGTATTGTTAATGTTCCTGGGTAAAGTTCCATATTGTCTAACACAATGACATGAAGACTTGTTTAAGATTTTTCAGACATATTGTTTTTGGGGGAATACCCCAAAGCCGTTACGCTACCAGACCTGACCAATTAACCAACTTCCTAGCTCCACGGAGCGTAATTCATCCAGAGAAGCTGAAAGTCTTGTACCTAGTCAAATTATAACTCTGCCACGGAATAAGGCATGACATGAAGTTGAGTAGGCATGGAGCAATCATTTTTCTATTTATTTTAAGTTGATTATTTTTTTATATATATATATTTATTAGCAATCAGAATAAAATACATTCTTTTAGCTAATTTGCTAATTTAAACACCGTCCTCGTGTGCTTATTGTGTCGTGATGAGGGCTCCTCCAATGAGAGATCCTCTAACCATCAAGTAGATCTGCGGGCCATAAGTTGATTATTTAACGACGCTTCTAGTATCATAGTGTAAAAAGAGCAATGCAACATGAGATAGAAATTCTGAACATACACAGCTTCAGGCTACAACAGCAACGAATTGTCAAGCGTTAACATGTACCGTATGTATGTCACGAACGAGCGAGCGAGCAGTCTCCTGTTATGAGTGCTGATAATATTGCGGATGTCTAAAATGTAGTATCCTATATGAAAGAGTCAATTTACCATTGACTATTTGTGCGTGTTATTCGTGGGAGATGGCTTAAACATTGACCTCGACGTAAAATTCGATAATATATGAGATTGGAAAGCAGTACGAAAGAAAGCAAAGAAAGTTAAAACTACGAAAATGTGTATAACAAATTATTCCCGTTGAAATTTCAACGGGTGTTACATTAGTAATTAGTAAGTAAAAAGTAAAACTATTCCTGTAACAGGCCGTGAAGGCCCATAGGGTTGTGAGACGCTGAGGGTCCCACATTATCTAGACAATCGGCTCAAAGATGGCGGTAAGGTTGTCAGCCTTACGTGCCGGCCGCGCTTTACTCCCCAGGAAAATTATTTCAATTAATTCCTGGTACTCATTTCTGTTAGAGGCTGAGTCGACCCCAGGACCTAGTACGGCTGGAAGGATGAGGTCAATTGATAAAAATCCAATGACCTCATCGGGAGTTGAACCTACGACCTCCCGGTTTGTAGCATAGCCCCTCAACCAACTACGTCACCGCGTTAGTAAGTTATATTTAATCTTCACATGTTTAAATAGCTGAGAGGAAGGCTAGATATTCTCTCAAATTCTTTTCGAGTGAAGTTTGTATTTGTTTTTGCCGTTCCAGATATCTCAACTTCGCCACATTTTGAAAGGATCCGATAGCTATGTTTATGGCGTGATTTTGCCCTGCATTATGGTGATGAGGCGTGAATATTGTTAGTTTTCTCTGCTGAGACCTCAACAGTTTTCCCAGAAAACGTAGCTCTCGTTGGCTCTGCAATTATCCCTGCAGAACTGCTGGACGCTGGTCCCCCTCAAGAGACACCAATCACTCGTCATTCTCTGTGAGGGTCAGGCTCCAGGTCATTAGGGCAGATTCACAGGTCCGTTGTGAACCTCACGGGAGAGCAGGGTCCATTTCTTGTTCTGTTTCAGTTAGGGTTGGAAACATCTGGACCCCAGTACAGCAGTCTCATGAGTATATTCTCTGTACGAAGGGCACAAAGTCAGTGTTTAACCTCGTTCAGAAGATAAGTCACAGTTGAGATCTGAGGTTCTAGCTGTAGCGAATATCACCATTACTGTCTTCTGAGATGCAACACCTTATTGGTTGGTAGGTACCAACATTACGAAGGAAGCTGCTACCTCTGTCTTCACGACAGATGAACCTTGCACCAACACCGACTAACCTAGCTGCGGATTTTAATGTTTCTCCTAGCTTTCCCCCAGGCAAATATCGGCTTAGTGCCTTCAGTTAGGTTCGAGCCGCGACTGTTCAGTCGAAATAGCGATGCGCTGCGGGATAGACGGCTTGTGTTTGATTCCCAGCAGGGTGAAAAGAGTTTTCTATATTACAGTGTCCAGACAGGCTCGTAGGCTCAGTGAGCTTCCTATCCAATGGCTATTGGGGACATTTTCCCCTGGCTTAGAGCGACCGGAGCGTGAAGCTAACCACTCACCTCCGTCTAGTGTTGAGGTCTAGAATAGTGGAGTTCTACCTTCACTCCCCATACATCTACACGGCGTAGTATTTGATTGCTTAATTAATAGCTCAAGGGACACGTTTACTTTAAAATAGGCGACGACCTCTTCCTTACACGCCCTTTCTATTTAGTTAGTTACTGTAACTGAAATTACGATGTAGCCTGTCGAATTGCTGGTGTAGTTAAATAAACTCTAAAAAAAAAAAAAAAAAAATCGGTGTCAAAATTCCGAGAACGGTGTTCCCCAGAGTACATTGAGTTGTTTTCAAATATATAAATATCTGGTTTGAACTTCTTGTCGGCCTGGTACCCCCGTTGTCTGAACCGATCCTCTCGGCTGCTTCCCGCCTCTCTGCCGCCTGCCCCTCCCTAAACACGAAAGGCTAAATATTTTGTGTCGTTACTACGGTCCAAACCTTGGCAGCCTCTCATTCCATGGAAAGCGTCAATATCTGTCACATAGGCGCATCATGATGGACTCTGAGTGTCCCTGGTGTGAAGCTCTCCATATGAAATTTGTGAGTTCGTTTACTCACTGCCAGTCTCTCCCTAACTTCACTACCACCGTCTGCTGCCCTGAACGATCGGACATCAAGTATACTGAATGCCGTTTCCTGTCTGTTAAAATATGGTCAGTTTGGTTGTGCGTCTTCCCATCAGGAGATGTCCAAGTAAATTTATTCATGTTACGGCGTGGGAACATTGCACTTCTGACAGATATCTGGATATGGCAAATTTCACTGCTATAATTTTATTATTATTACTAATTTCATGTCAACTCGCATTCCAAATTATTGGTTTGAAAATGTCTTCCCTGCCTACTTTGGCATTGAAATCTAACATTTTCATATGGTATTTATGGAATTTATTGAATACACGTTCTAGTTCCTCGTAAAAGTTGTTCTCCATATCATCAGTTTTATCCTCTGTTGGGGCATGAACGTTCAGAACGATGATATCATACCAGCGACCTCTAAGTATTATGTATGACACCCTGTCACTAGGGCATGCGGTAGCGTAGTTGGGCGAGGCACTATGCTACAAGCCGGTAGGTCACGGGATCGAATCCCAATGAGGTTGATTTTTTCAATCTACCTAATTCTTTCAGCCGCACTATGGCCCTGGGGTCGACTTAACCTCTAACAGAAATGAATACCAGGAATATTCTTGGGGGTAAAGGGCGGCCGGCGCGTAAGGCTGACAACCTTACCGCCATCTATGAGCCGATTATCTGGGAAATGTCAAGGAGGATGAGAGGGGCAGGGCATATAGCACGAATGGGGACGAAGAAGGATGCATACAGAATGTGGGTGGGAAAGCCAGAAGGATAGGGACCACTAGGAAGACCAAGACGTAGGTGGGTGGATAATATTAAAATGTGTCTTAGATAGGATGGGGTGATATGATCTGGATTGCTCTGGCTCAGGATAGGGACCAGTTAAGGGCGCTTGTAAACATGATAATGAACCTTTAGGTTCCAAAAATGTTGGAAAATTCTTGAGTAGCTGCGCAACTGGCGGCTTCTCAAGGAGGGTTCAACTGCACGGAGTTAGTTAAGGGGACGTTTGCAGAAAGGGATGAGGAGCCGGGGCGTAAACAAAAATTTAACGGTAAAGTTGTATATGTGCTTAATTAGTTAAGCAGCACGCCGTCAAAATATGTTGTGGGGCGGAGGTATACCTCAACGTATTCTTAATTTAGTCTGTAATTGGGGATAAGTTATTAGCTTCACACCCAGCCCTATTTTCCCTATGAGACAAGCCCTCTGTACGAGGCTGAGTCGGCGTGAACTTCTGTCACGCCCGGGAATCGAACCACAACTGCACGGTCGTTCAGCTCCTAGCCAGTTATTATGCCCACTGAGTGGAGACGCAAGGAGTGAGGATTTGGTTGAAGTCACGTGGCTGAGGATACAACTGAATGTTGGGTTTTTGTGAATACTGTTATGAAGCTTCGGTTTCATAGTTATTTCTTGAATAGATGAGTGACCATTAGTTTGTCAATAAGGACTTCGCTGCTTGGAATCAGTTCCTTTGTATGGCGACAGAGTACTCTGCAATGTTCTCGTTTGTTACAGACTAGCTGTCCGATGCATCGCAGTCTGTGAACATGGTGACGAGACTTGTGTTGTTGTTGCTGGCGCTGGTGTCGCTGTCCACAGCGGGTCCGCGGTCCTCAAGAAACAAAGAAATTCAGCTTGGTGAGTCCATGCATCGAGAATTCCCTTATTTATGTCTGATACGACTATTTCAGTTAACGTATTATCTTGCCCTGCTTCTCTAGCGCTACATGTTTTGGCCGTACACTGCCGTTATCAGGCGCAAGTCTGTTAAAATTACACATTGGGTGACAATGTGAGTTTGATTATGCATTAAAGTATATTTAGAATTAAGACTCACTAGCAAAATTAAAAAAAAAAAGCAGTAACAAGAAATGTCCGCGCCATAACTCAAGTTGCTGGCCCGGGTTCGATCCTGGGTCTGGTCAAATGGGATTTGTGGTGGACAAAGTGGCGCTGGGGCGGATTTTCTCCGAGTACTTCGGTTTCCCCTGCCAATCTTCATTTCACCAAATTCTCCATCATCATAATCACCCGCGACAGGCACAGTAGGCCGATCAGTGGCCGCCTTGCCGAGTGGACCCAGTTGCACTCCACACCCCACTAAGCGAATTAAAAGAAAAACGGTAACAACAAAAATATTGCGTAACACAACACATTATTTACACGTTACAGAAATTACCCACGCCGGAACAAAGGAACGCAGCACAACAAGCCCCAGCGTCAGATAAACATACGTATTTCATTGTACAAGTGGTGACTGCAACGAAGAATTACATTTAAGAAGTTTTAATTCTCATTTTAATTAAGAATCTACGTCGCTTTCACATGCGATAAGTAATTAAAACATTGGAACAGTGGAACAGTTTTGGCAAGGTGGACATGCACCTGATTATGGCCGAAACATGTAGTGTTGAAAGTTGCATTTGAGACGGAAATATATGTATGCAAGTAAATACATTAATACAACAGGATGCCTAAATACAATATAATCGGATATTTATTCGTCAATTTATTTACGATTCTTCCATTACTTTATTTACTTATTTAATTCCTGTGAATTTATTTGTTTATTTTTCTTGAATAATTGATATATTTTTTATGTATTCATTGCCCTTTTTATTTATTTCTTGTTTCTCTGGTAATTTATT